CTACTACAATACACAGTGTATTGTTGAAAGTGTATTGTTAGTTACCAGGATTATCTGGATATTAATATGCAATGGTATTTCGGCGCAGTATTCTATAGCGAAATATTTGAATAGATTCCGCTTCTGTTTTTTATGAATTTACGAACCATAAACCACACCTAAAACATCATGAATACATCGTGAAGAAATCCTAAAAAAAGCTTCTGTCAGCGACTATCGTGCAGTAGTTACCAGCCATTGTTGTACCGCGCATCCGCGCGTGGTTAGTTTATGCTGGTTCGTGTTATGTCCTACACCAAACAAAATTAACCCAACGAAAGCCCTAACCCTAGCCATGACTCTAACACTAACCCTTACCCTAATCCTAATCCTGATCCTGACCCTCACACTAACCCTAACCATAACCCTAATCCTAACCCTAATCCTAGTCCTAGCCCAAACCTAACCCTAACCCTAACCCTGACCCTAACCCTAATCCTGATCCTGACCCTATCCATAACCCTAACCCTAAGCCTAACCCTAACCATAACCATAGCCCTAACACTATCCCTTACCCTAATCCTAACCCTAACCCTAACCATAACCCTAATCCTGATACTGACTCTATCCATAATCCAAACCAAACACTAACCCCAACTCTTTCCTCAACACTAATCCTAACCCTAACCCTAACGCTAACCCTAACCCTAACACTAACCCTAACCCTAACCTTAACGCTAACCCTAACCATAACCATAAATCCTAAGCCTAACCCTAACTCTAACCATAGCCCTTACACTACTCCTTACCTTAACCCTAACACTAACCCTAACCATAACCATAACCGCAACCATAACCGCAACCATAATCCTAACCCTAATCCTGACCCTAACACTAACTCTAACTCTAACCCTAACCCTAACCATAACCATAAACTTAACTTTAACCCTAACCCCAACCCTAACCCTAATCTTAACCCTGACCCTAACACTAATTCTAACACTAACCTTAACCCTAACCCTAGTCCTAGTCCTAGACCTAGTCCTGGTCATAACCCTAACACTGACCATATCCCTATAAGCCTAATCCTAACCATAACTTTTACCCAAGCCTTCGCCGCTCTCGCAGGTTCAGCCCTTACGAGTGGGCGACCAAGACTGAGAACGGCACGGCCGATAAGGTGCAAGGTGAATTCTACAACATACAGAACTCCGCCTTCACTGTCAGCGGCCTGCTCTTCTTACAAGGTAGAGATGCATCATCTCAACTGCGCTACTGTATGTGTGTGTGCGTGTGTGTGCGTGTGTGTGCGTGTGTGACCCGGTCCGACGTGTGTGTGTGTTGTGTGTGTGTGTGTGTGTGTGTGTATGTGTGCGTGCGCGTGTGTGTGTGCGTTGCGTGTCCTGTTGTCGTTTCTTTCTACAGCTACCTTAGTGTTACAGTATACCTTGCTATCGATGACGCTTACTGTCGCTTACATTGATCCCTACAGCTACGGTAACAGTAGTAAGCTACAGCTACCTTACTACTGTTACCTTGCTATCGATACCTTACTGGCTACATTGTTACAGCTATCTTACTACTGTTACCTTGCTATCGATACCTTACTGTCACTACATTGTTACAGCTACCTTACTACTGTTACCTTGCTATCGATACCTTACTGTCGCTACATTGCTACAGCTACCTTACTACTGTTACCATGTTATCAATACCTTACTGTCGCTACATTGCTACAGCTACCTTACTACTGTTACCTTGCTATCGATACCTTACTGTCACTACATTGCTACAGCTACCTTACTACTGTTACCTTGCTATCGATACCTTACTGTCACTACATTGCTACAGCTACCTTACTACTGTTACCTTGCTATTGATACCTAACTGTCGCTACATTGTTACAGCTATCTTACTACTGTTACCTTGCTATCGATACCTTACTGTCGTTACATTGCTACAGCTACCTTACTACTGTTACCTTGCTATCGATACCTTACTACTGTTACCTTGCTATCGATACCTTACT